TCAGAAAACTTCCATAAGCGTACTTAACCAACTTCAAGTCCGGACACTTTCACCCCCTTCCAGTCCAGGCCAATTTTCATCTTTCAGTGCTATCACACTTTGAATGACAGTTGCCAAAATCATGTACACTGTACCCATTTGAATTTTTTAGCAATTTTTTTTGAGACCAGATAAAACTTTATTTTGGTGGTTTTCATTCACCACTGGGATTTTTATTGTTTTGCTATATAAAAATGAAAAGTCTAAAAAATTTTGGAAAAAAAAGTGTTTTTCTTATAACATTGAGAATACTGTGAGAGCTGTGATTGGTCACAGCTTGTCACAATGGTAAAGAACAGAGACTGTTGTGAATAGCCTTGTACAATGAGACCTCTGTGATCAATTCACAGATTTCACTAGTAGTAAGCAATGATGTCAGGAAGTGAAATCTTGCTTACTACTATTCATGTGATCATTGATTGGCCAATCAGTGATCACATGATCGGAGCACCTCACACAGAGGTCCCGTACAGCAATCGGTGCCATGCACTCCCCAGCGAGCAAGCGCGCACAGGCTGTAAATGCGAGCGACATTTATGAACAGCAACCCGCTCCTGCACTGCTCCCGTCCAGCCATTTCTGTACATGGGAAGTGAACATCTTGTTTACTACTATTCATGTGATCACTGATTGGCCAAATCAATGGCTTTGCATTTTGCAATGAATGCAAAGTGTTCTCTAATTGGATGAGGTGATGAAGTTTCTAACATTATTGGCCCGTCTCTCCACCTCATCCAATCATTAATTGATAAAAATGCAACGTGATCTCTAAATGATCCCTTGCCAAGCGGGCCACCTCCTGTGTTCACAATACATCAGAGCAAAGCCACTTGGGACTTGAAAGCTAGTGAAGATCACTGGAGATAGCGGCGTTACCACAGTGACTTTCAGCTTCCACAGGGATCCCACAATAACATACATAGTTACAGTGTAAGTTCTTAGGGTAAAATTATCCATAGACAATGCAATTTGGAAAAGAGTAAAACACCCTTTTAAATAGCAGATTTGTTTTCACTGCGAGGGAAAAAAAACAGAAAACAACTGACTACAAAACTATTTGCATTTCCTGCCAGACTGAAAAAAAATGAGCTTTGTTAGATGTTTTAGGCCCTAGCGTAAAGCTTATAAAAGTAAAAGTAATTTTATGTCAATTGAGGATAAATCAGCTAGTATGCCTTTAATGTATGATGGTGCTAATTTCTCATGAGGTACATTTGTTTCATTATGTAAGCCGCACAGAGCGCTATGAAGTAACAGCAAATCTTTAGGAAGCAAAAATTACTGTGTCACATTTTAACTGAGGTCATCAATCTAGTTTAACAGGCCTTCAACTCTAAAAAAAAATTCTGCAATTGGACACAAAAAACTTTTTCTGGAGAGAAAAAAAAAGAACAGAACATATTGAACTTGACCATGTAGTTTAGTTGAAAGAAACACCACACATGTTGGTGGTTGTTTTTTACTTTTTGCAGACATACTTTCCAAAAAAATTTCCATGTTTGTTAATAGGAGACTGGGGAGTTTTCCAAATTTGTATGGACACACTCTGAGTTAGTTAAATATTAATCTGTAACTTTTATAGTTGATCAAATTTAAAAAAAGGTTAAATCCTGCATAGCATGATTCAAAAGCACATGTTAATTTAACCACTTGCCCTCCAGAGGATTTACCCTCCTTCCTGACCAGGCCATTTTTTGCGATAAGGTGCTGCGTTACTTTAACTGACAATTGTGCGGTCAAGCAACCCTGCACATAAATAAAAATTTGTGCCCCTTTTTTTTCCCAGAAATAGAGCTTCGTTCGGTAACAATTTGATTGTTTAAAATAAATTTGTTTTATGAACGTTATACTGTCAACAAAAGAAGTGCTAAGAAGCAGTTAAACACCGCAAAACTAATCATGCCTTCTCTGCTTTTCGGATCAGGTAAAATGCTCCTATCTCCTCTCCATTTCTTAACAAAAACAACGCATTAACTCCTGCTTTCACTGGGTAAAAAAACCTATCTCCAGAATTACACAAACAACACTTAACAAGAACAACGCATTAACTCCTGCTTTCACTGGGTAAATGCTAATATCTCCTCAAACCACTCTTAACAAGAACAAAAACATTAAAAATCCTGTTAATTTCAGAACAAATAGTGTACAAATATTTTTGTATTATATTGACTAGTTCTCACCTCTAGTTGCACTCATTTTATGAATGTATGCTGTGTCTAGTCTGTTTGAGAAACATCCCCCTATTCATGTGAATCTTTATCAGTTCCTAATTTGGGGCGGAGAAGAGTGCTCATTTGACCATTCTCCCTATAAATTTAGATCAGCTCATGGGGGGATCACAGATGGGGGGGGCACACAGACACAGATGGGGTGCTGCTTTTGCGTGAGTGCTGCAGTGATGGAGTGCTAACAAGCAGTTAAACACAGCAGTTGAACTAAAGCAGGATAACTCAAGCAGCAGGAAGATACAACAAAAGCAAGAAACTCTGCTGCAGGCTGGACAGACTGCAAGCAAACACCCTGGGAAATATCTTTTACAAGTCTGTGTCCCACTCCCGTGTACCTTTTAATATGTCTCCTCTTACTCCTCCTTTTCATACTACTTTCCTGCGTTCCAAAAATCTCACTTCTTTATCCCTCTCTTCAACCTAAACCTCATCTTTTGCATTAGCACAGTGTATACAGTCCTCACTCACTCTGATGGGAATACATTAGACCTTGTTTTTCCCCATCTTTTACGCACTCCCTACAACCTCACAAAACTCACCCCCTTTCCTTGCTTTGATCACAAATCTCATCGCATTCACAGTGTCCTCATCTTCAAAACACACTATCCCTCCAAGCAGCAAACAATTACCCGCAGAAACCTACAAGAACTTGAACCCTGCTCTTTTCCACTCTGCAACTGACCAACTCTATGACAGAATCTCTCCCCCCCCCTGCCCTCACCCCCACCACCCACACATCCCCCCCCCCCCCCCCCCCCCCCCCCCCCCCACCCCCCCCCACCCACCAACACTCCCTCACAAGGGCATCTCGCACTCAAGCAATCTGCACAGACATCCATCCCACTTAGCAGATACCTTATACTAAACCTCCCTCAACACTTTCCTCTTTTGACCACACCCTACTACAACGAAGAGGTCACTAAGGTTTTTCTCAGAAGCCCATCTCACTACTTGCCCCCTGGATCCTGTCCCCTCACAACTACTACAGTCACCCTCTTCTTCCATCCTATGCTCCCTCACTCACATCTTCAATCTTTCTCTCTCTACTGGTGCCTTCCCCCTCCCCTCTAAAGCATGCGCACATCACTCGCATACTTAAAAAGCCCTCCCTGGACCCACCAACCTGAACAACTTAAGATCCATCTCCCTGCTGCCATTTACCTCTAAACTCCTAGAACGCTTAGTCTACAATTCGCCTGAGCTCCTACCTCACCGACAAAATTGCAAACCCTTCTTGACCCTTTACAGTCTGGCTTTCGCTCCTTTTACACTCCACTGAAACTGCCCTACTAAAACTCACTAATGATCTACTAACTGCTAAACCAATGGCCACTCTTACTACTTGACCTCTCTGCAGCTTTTGATATGGTTGACCATCCCCTCCTCCTCAAAAAAACTCCACTCTCTTGGTCTCAGAGACTCTGCTCTCTCCTGGTTCTCCTCCTACCTATCGCAGCGCTCATTCAGCATTACCTATAAAGCTGCCTCCTCCTCTTCACTCCCTCTTTCTGTAGGGGTCCCTCAAGGTTCTGTCCTTGGACCCCTTCTCTTTCTGCATCTACACCTCCTCCCTTGGTCACTTGATAAACTCCCATGGCTTTATGTACCTGCTGTGTCATTTTGTGTGATGACACACAAATCTATCTTTCTACCCCTCACCCTTACCCCTTCAGTCTCCTCTCGCATTACTAACCTACTAAGTGACATATCCACATGGATGTCACTTCACTTCCTCAAACTCAGTCTTTCCAAAACTGAGCTCTTAGTATTCCCCCCATCCTGTGCCCCCTCCCCGCACTTCTCCATTAAGATCAATAACACAATCATCAGTCCCCCTCACCTCATGCCAGGGGTACTAGGTGTAATCCTAGACTCCCATCTGTCCTTTCACACTCAAATCCAATCACTATCCAAATCTTGTAAACTTCACCTCCGCAACATCTCCAAGATACGCCGTTCCTAACCACGGAAAACACTAAGCAACTTATTCACTCCCTTGTTATATCTCACCTTGCAACTCCCTCCTCATTGGCCTACCTCATCGCAGGCTATCCTCTCTTCAGTCTATCATGAACGCTGCTGCCAGACTTATCCACCTTACTAACCGTTCTGTATCTGCCACCCCTCTCTGCCAATCCCTCCACTGGCTTCCCATTGCCCAATGGATAAAATTAAAAACATTAACAATAACATATATAGCCATTTATAACTCTGCCCCAAATTACATCAACGATCTTGTTTCCAAATACCACCAAAACCGTCCTCTCCCGACTCCTCGCAAGACCTCCTGCTTTCTAGCTCCCTTATCTCCTCCTCCCATGCTCGTCTCCAGGACTTTTCCAGAGCTTCCCCCATCCTCTGGAACTCTCTACCCCAATTTATCAGACTATTGCCTACTCTGCTCACTTTTAGGTGATCTCTGAAAACCTATCTCTTCAAGGAAGCCTATCCTGCCCTCAGCTAATAATGGAATCTTCTACTCTTCCAACCAGTCCATCCCCCACAGTTACTACCCTTTTGTACCACTAGCCCCTCCCTCCTAGATTGTAAGCTCCAAGGATCAGGGCCCTCCTTTCCCTCTTGTATTCAACTCTATTGTTGCTGTATTGTCTCCCGTTATATTGTAAAGCACTGAGCAAACTGTTGGCACTATATAAATCCTATATAATAATAATAATATATACTGGAATTTTTTCTTTCTTTTTTATACTAGTAATGGCAGCGATCAGTGACTTATAGCGGGACTGTGCATTCTGACACTGGGGGGAACTGACTAACTGCCACTGACATCCCAATAACACTAATACAGTGATCAGTGCTAATATAAAGCACTGACACTGTACTAATGACACTGGGCAGGAAGGGGTTAACATCTGGGGTGATCAAAGGGTTAACTGTATGCTGTTTTACTGTGTGTGTTTTACTAAGGAAACATACTGCTGTGTATTTCTCTACGGTGCAGAGAAATACACAGCAGCATGTTACTGCTGGCAGAAGAGAGACCTGTGTCGTTTACACACAGGTCTCTCCCCTGTCAGCGATACTTGGCAATCGACGGGTACCGGCGGGGAATCTCTGGCCGGAACCAGTTATCAACATGTGTAGCCACCAATGGTGGTGTGGGTAGGGTGGCACATGTGCCCCCTACCTGAAGATGCAAAATCACACATATATACGAGATTTTGCACAACCCTGCCACCCTGTAGCAGTACTTCTGCTATAAAGTGGTCGGGAAGAGGTTAAGGGAGAACTCAACTTTTGCGAAAAAAATAAATAAATACAAAAATACATTTTATATCTTCTGCACACTCCATTCTCTAATTCAGTAAAAAATTACCCATGACATTTGAACTGCCAGCAGCTATGATTTTCATAAATGTTTATTTATAATTATATATTTCTTTTCATTGAAACCATAGCAAAATTATTTTTGTAAGTAGTTATGAGCCAAACTGCCTTTGGGTTGGTTCCGAAATATTTGAGGGCCTTTGGGTGGGTCTGTATACCTTTTTTTTAGAAGCTGGCAATGAAGTGTCATTTCCTGGCAATTTAAACTTTTTTTTTTTTTTTTTTTTGTAAATGTCACTTTGTTGTAGCACATCCTACAGCAACAATAAAAACAAAATGCGTAGAGTCCTCCCCAAAATGCCAGTGACCATATTTGGAAAGTGATGACACTACTATCCCCAACCCTTTGCTTATGTGGTCAAGGGATTTCTGACCGTATAATCATTGTGCTGGTGACAGCAGCAGTTTCTAGGGATGCAGCAGGCGTCAGCACGAACTGTTTTCTTAGGAACTATTAACAATGAGAAGCTGTCATATATAAAAACAATTGAAATACTGTACCTCTTCATTATATATTGCTTTGGCTCATCCCTATTTGTACATTCTAATGCATAACAAGTGTGACATGCATCCTTTCAAAAACCAATAAATGTGCCTAACAATCCAGAACCACATTAATTACAGGCTACTTTGTGCAAATAACAACTGATAAATCAATGTGAGAGCTGTGCGTCAATCTCTCTATGCACAGAACCCACTAAAGCCTAGTACACAGCATCAAAAAATCGTACGAAAAATACCAATTTCGAAGCGATCGTATGATCATTTGATCATTATTTGAAGGGACAAACATAAACATTTTTCTTGTACAATACCAGTTCGTACGATTTTCATTTAATCGGTACAGTTTTCGCCCAAAAAAATGTTTTTTATTCTGTCGTACAAGAGGTTTCATAACTTTAATAACCTTTTCATTTTTACAAACAACCAGTGGAATTGGTACCATTTGTATGAAAATAAAAAATATGCAAAATACGTGTGAACAAGGAGACAATGAATGAAAGTGTTTGTTCATCAATGCCAGAAGTCTGCCAAGCAAAATAGGTGAGTTGGGAGCTTTGTTGCATGAAGAGAACTATGATTTAATTGGTATTGCCGAATCTTGGTTTCATTCTTTCGCATGACCGGGTCATTAACATTCCTGGCTATTTTCTCTTTCGGAGAGACAGAGTAAATAGGAAAGGTGGTTGTGTCTGTCTCTATGTGAGAATTGATCTCAGAGCGAGTGTGAAAGAGGACCTAGTTGATGGAGAGTGTGATGAAGCTGAAGTATTATGGGTGGAACTGCACATGGGGATGCGTACTACAAAGGTAATCATTGGAATTTATAAATACAATTGTGAATATGATATCAAAGAGAAACCCTAAAACCCACTCTAATTTCTAATTAGAAGAAAACTTTCAACCCCTGAAAGTTTAAAATCAAATAAAATTATTCCAAAAAGAATCTCCCCTCTTTCAACAAATTCCCACCTATAATAAAAAACAAAACACACCCCTTACAAGTGATAATTATTAACCACTTGCCGCCCAGCCACTGTAGATATACGGTGGCAGGGCGGCACTCACAGGCAAAACCACGTTTTAAAATGCGGTTCTGCAAAACAGGTAGGGGGCGCACGCGAGGCGCGTGCACGCCCTACCTGTCCCGCGGGTGTCATCAGCGGGTCCCAGCCGCCAGGTCACGGCCAGTGATTACCGGCTTTTTGGCCGCGATGAGCTGTGATTACTGACAGATAACACGGCTGCATTGTTTACACACAGCCTTGTTATCTGTCAGTTGCTCAGCTCGTGACAAGCTGCAGAAGGTTTCTCTGCCTCGATCAGCTCCCCCCTCCCTCCCCCCCCCCTCCAGCACACACCCCCTCCCCCTAGTAAAACACACTCCCCTCACACAGTGAACACTAAAAATGTTAACCCCTTCCTCCCCATTGCCATTAGTACAGTTTCAGTGTTTTTTTTTTTCACTGATCACTGTATTGGTGTCACTGGGGATGTCAGTGACCCCAAGTCAGTTCCCCTCCAGTGTCAAAATGTCCGCCACAGTCCCGCAGTCCCGCCATAATGTCGCTGGTCGCCGCATATGTCGCTGATCGCCACCATTATTAGTATAAATAAAATAAAAAAATCCCAGTATCTTTCCCGCCATTTGTAAACGCTCTAACTTTCATGTAAACCAATTAATTTACACGTATTGGGATTTTTTTTTAGCAGAGACATGTCGCAGAATGCATTTTGGATGAAATTTGTGCCAAAATTTGATTTTTTAATTTTTTTTTACTGGACATGTTTTATAGCAAAAAGTCCAAAATATTGTTTTTTTGTCTCAAAATTGTCAGCCTTTTTTTTTTATAGCGCAAAAAATTAAAAACGCACAGGCGATCAAATACCACCGAAAGAAAGCTCAATTTGTGGAAAAAAAAGGATGTAAATTTAATTTGGGTGCAGTGTTGCATGACCGCACAATTGTCAGTTAAAGTAACGCAGCGCCATAACACAAACCTCTTCTGTAACCGCTTCCTTACCACCCTACAGCAGAAATACTGCTACAGGGCGGCATGGGTACGCAAAATCACATATATATATATACGTAATTTGCGCTCCCGTGGTTTTCACACCCCTCCCAGATAGCGTCATATTGCCTGACAGTACACCAGTCATCACATTTAACCCCTTGATTGCCAGGAGCACGCCCATGTACAATAAACCTCCATTGCTAGTATAGTGTCTGAATGGGTCAATATCTTTGATCAGGTCAGCACTATACCAGCGTTCACATTAGTATAGCGTCCGCAAAAACGCAGCGTTAGCGGGATCAGCCCCTGCACCTGCCAACAGCTGCGTTAAGCCCCTACGCTTGCCCCCCCCTTCTCCCCCAGCAAGTGCAGTGTCAGTAGATCACTGTCACTTGATTCATTGCACACAAAACCGCAGTGTTCCCAGAATCAGGCCTGATCTCTGTTAGCACTTGTCGGTAAATTTTGATGACTCTCATATGCAGCAGAGTGCCAGTACTAGTGCCGCTCTACCTTTTGGTGAACTGGCGAGTACCAGCGGTCTAGTACATCTTGGTCTTTCACAAACCTCCTTGATTTTTGGAGCTGTTTTTCACGGAATATCTGTATGCGTTGATTGTGGATCAAAGCAGTCTATATGCACAACAATTTATCGCCGCCAACCCAAATTAAGACCATTCACATGGAAACTCATTACGGTTTTCAAATTTAAATTTTTTTTGGGCCTAACCCTCAACATGGGCATTACTAAAAGAAATGTATTGCGGTTGTATTGGTCCGCAGACCCCATTCATCATATGCCGTGTTCTCTGCTGCCATGGCCAGGCATAGATATGAGAGTATAATGTGTTTTATGCATTTCAGCGACAATACACTCTGTCATCCTCGGGGTGACCCTGAATTTGACCGGCTCCACAAAATTCAGCCCCTCGCAAATCACCTTACCCTAAAGTTTGCAGATGTCTATACTCCCCAGCAAAACATCTGCGTTGATGAGTCCCTTATTATTTTTTCTGGCCGCCTTGCATTCAAACAATTTCTCCCCTGCAAGCGTGCCAGATATGGGGTCAAGATGTAGAAGACCTGTGAGAGGACAACAGGCTATACTTATACGTTTTGGATTTACGAGGGAAAAGATAGTCACGTGGAGCCCCCCGGATGCCCAGACTACATGGGGAGCAGTTTGGGACTTGGTGTCATCATTTCTCCATACGGGGTACCACTTATACGTGGACAATTTTTATTCAAGCGTGCCACTATTTAGACATTTGTACAATCTTGGAACTGGCACTTGTGGCAAAGTGTGACCTAATGTGTGCCCACCATTAGAAGTGGGTGGATGCAGGGCGGTATATTCTAATGGTGGGCATACCACACACTTTTTCTGGCAGATATTTCTTCTCATTTTTTCATTCAGCCCACAGCCTGCATGCAAAAAAAAAAGAACATAGCATATATACCCAACAAGGACCAGCGATGTACTGGTACATCACTGGATTTGAATGGTTATACCAGGATGATGCCTACAGCTGCAGGCATCATCCTGGTATCGTTTTTTCGACTGGTATCCTGGTATCGGTGATCGACTTTCATGTAAAAGCAATCCTAGTGGCTAATTAGCTGCAAGATTGCTTTTACAAGCAGTGGAAGATTATGTCCCCCCTCCCCCGCTGCCTTCCACGGCCTTCTGGGCAGTTTCGTGCCATCGGGGGGAACCTGAGAATGCAGCCGGTGTTTCTGCCAGCTGACCATAGAGCTGATTGGACACCAGAATGATGCCAATCATCTCTATAGTCTAAGAATTCGGAAGCTACAAGCATTTCATCACTTCAGTTTCGCAGGATATAAACAGCGCCATTTGTAAATTGGGAAAGCATCTGATCACACCGATTTTGGTTTGATTAGATAATGTAAGAGCAGAGGAGATATCTAGAGTCTGATAGACCCCAGATTTCTCAAAAAAGAATATGTGACAATGCCCATTGAAGTTATAGGGGTTATTTACATTCCCTGTTATAGCATTAAAAGTGATTAAAAAAAAAAAAAATGAATGGTACAATGTAAAAATAATTTAAAAAAAAATCAAAATAACTATAAAAAAAAAAAAAAAAAATTGCCCCTCCCATGTGCGCACACCTGTGTGCACAAGCCTTGACTCTGTGCCGTTATGTAAACAGAGGTTGAACCATGCATGTGAGGTATTGCCGTGAACGTCAGATCAAGGGC